CATTACTGGATTTCTCATTTTGGAAGGATTTTCCTCTATATGATTTCCTTTTAAAATTTAATTAGAAATTAAAGAGAAATTCTCAATTCCTGGATTTGTTTGTCATTTTGGAAGGATTTTTCCTCTATATGAATTCCTTTTAAAATCTAATTAGAAATTAAAGAGATATCCTTCATTCCTGGATTTCTTATTTTTGGAAAGATGTTCCTCCATATGAATTAATTAGAAATTAAAGAGAAATCCTTCATTCCTGGATTTCTCATTTTGGAAGGATTTTCCTCTATATGAATTCCTTTTAAAAGTTAATTAAAAATTAAACAGAAATCCTTCATTCCTGGATTTCTCTTTTTTGGAAGGATTTTCCTCTATATGAATTCCGTTTTAAACTTTAATTAGAAATTAAAGAGAAATCCTTCATTCACTGGATTTCTCATTTTGGAAAGATCTTCCTCTATGTGAAATTGGTAACCGGATTCTGGTTTCCAAAATTTGTATATGGCAGACTGACAAAATTATCGCGAGCATATGACTAATTTCATTCAACAGTGTAGAATTCATCGCTATTCACAATGTTTAGGCTGATACAATATGTTCGCGAAGACGGCATATGAAGCATTCATGAAGCTAAAACAGGTTAGGCGTAGATCTTGGGGGGGGTGACCATATATATATATATGTATATATACATACAAAAATATATATATATATATGCTTAATCTGACTTCAAGCAAATTCCTCTCGTTTGTCACATCCTTCCAATCGCTTAGGTCAACTGAAAAGTGTTTCTGCTTTTATGCTGAGTGCAAAATAAGAAGTGGACATCTAAAGGTTCTGAAGCAACTGCGGATGCAGTGAATCAAAAACGCCTGGCAAGCACCTGCATCTCGAGCCCCAGTATGCCTTCGTTTGTTCAGGGTTTTTTGGCAATTGGATTGAAAGGGCTTTTTCATCAGCTTTAGGAAGCCAACCCAAACGGAAAACTCCCAACTCCGAAGCCCCAGAAAAGGCTGCCTGGAACTACGATCGCAATCTCTAGGAAGAAGAATGCTGCGCAGCCAGCTATGGCACCCAGCACGATTGCAACGTAGACTGGCATGGCCTGGGCAAAAGCTCAAGATCCCAACTTGTCATGAGAACCATTCTCTTTTTGTTTCGTAACCTCGAATTTGACAAAGGCTTCGGCCACCCTGGCAAGAGGGTCCTAATACGTATGAATGTATGAAGTACAGCTAAAGTTGAGGCTGCTTTCCGTTTTCTTTTCCATTCTCCCTATAGGTCTTAGGGATCTTGAAAGATTCCTGCATCCCCATGTAAGCCCTAGCAAGGAGGGTTCGGCGGCTCAAGGGTCTTGATCTAGGACGTGAAGGTTCAGGCTAGTGCCTTGAAGGGTCATTGAGGGGTATATGTGTAAGGATATGTAGATTGTGGAGATTTTGGGTGGGATTTAGGATTGCTACTCTGCTCAGACCAGGCCGAGTGAAGATGGAAACGGGAACTCTGTTACACTTGGGGCTTCTGCTCCTGGATAGTTCAAAGCCAAACCTCTAAACCCTAAATCCCAAACGCTACATCTGAAGCCTATACCCTAAAACCCTAAAATTATAACCCCTACTCATATGGAGACGAAGGAAAAGATTGATTTTAAAAAAATGTGGAAAAAAGGCAATCCAAAAAAGGTAAAGGTCAAAAAATGTAAATCGTGGAAAATTAAGAAAGGTAAAAAAAAAGTTAAAAAAAAGGGTAAACCGGGTAGACA